ATTTACCGGAGGCTCCGCCACACACACGGAGTATCCGATGGAGCCCAAACACTTAGTATCCTAGTTCGGAGAGTCTGATGTTCCCAGTATGACCTTTTCCCACTAAGTCCCACAACCACGCCGGACTATCCGATAACACAAACCGATAGCCCTTCAATGTATACCTGAACACTCTCTCTTGCATGTTTCGTATAATGTCATGCATACATAAGAATCTCATACATGGACATATACATAGGTATGCGATATCGGAGAGACGTCTAGTGTGTTCCAAGCTAGGGGAATCTCGCTCTTCCAATAGGTAGGCACCCCGTTATTATGAACCCTACTTTGAATACTTATCAAGTCGCATTATGAGTTATGCATTACATATAGTCTTGGATAATGATCTCTTCATACTACACCTAGAGTAGCTTAATAATCTGTTGAAGCCTCTAACCTTAACAATGGGAATGGGAAGGCTTAATGCTTATTGCTTAGTTGCTTAGGCAATGGTAGAAGTCGAGCATGAGAAGGGAACTCATACTCGCGCATGTAGGATGCTACACCTGGATAATGAACTACTAAAACCAATGAGGGTATAACTTGACCCACCTTACTAATCTAGCTAAGGAATAATATCCCTAATATGGTAATCTTGATGATAACTTGGATATCTTGCTCAAGCAAGGGGTAGGTCGCCGTGAGTGTGGGATCTCAGACGACATAGCTCGTGGAGCAGTAAGGACCCTCTATTGGGATACATAAGTCCGAGTAACCACCCGTACAGACCACATGTCGCGGATGGGGTCGACAAGCCAAGTAGCTAATTGCGACCTGTCTATCGGTGAAACTGGCAAGGGGGATGGCGCCAGGAAGATGGTGTACGTAAGGAACTAGGGACCCGTTACAGTACAGAAGCCTGGCCCAAGGAACTGGGAAGATGGTGGAAACCTGACCCGGGCATTCAGTCGAACCTTTCATGTGACATTTGGGCCGGATTAGGGAAAGGTTGGAAGACATGAGACAACCCTTACTCTCGTGCACGAGGTATGGTGGTTAGTCCCATCCTTCTGTGTGGGTACAGTTGTACACCTCTGTAGAGTCTTGAAAGCCTGAAGTCCCTCAGGACAGAATCATTCGGTTGTTCTTACTTTCTATACCCTTGGTAGCGTAGTTGATGGATGATGGACTATGAGCATCTTGGTTGTAATGATAAATGCTTTAATTCTAAAGTTGATCATAGCATGTCATACTCTTAATGAACATCATTGCTTTCCGCACTTATACAAATGCCTGATAATCACCCTATGCATCCACCAAATACTATATGTTGGAATTAAGTCCTGCAAGTACGCAATGTACTCATGGTGCTGCCATTAAGTTGTTTTGCAGGTAAAGGACATTAGCAGCCATCTCACCCCGTTGTTGGTGGCAAAGTAGGTGAATGGCAGGAGCCGTCCAAGCTATGGTAGTGATGCCCATGGGCAAGGCGACTACCCGTTACTAGTGAGACTGTATATCGTAGCTGTAGTCGATAAGATAGTAGTTGGTCCTCATTACATATGATTGTATTGAATCAATGTCTTCTTTAATGTTGTATAATTAACTTGTTAAATTTAATAAGACTTGTAATATATGATTTCCGCTGAATTATTATGTACTCCGATGATGAGATGTTATCTTGAGTTGTGAAGGCTATCGTGGTATGATACTCAACCTGATCCTGAAGAGGAGTTGCCAAGGAACGCTCCTGAGGAGTCACCGATGTTGGTTTGTTTAAATTGTGTCAGTCAAGTGGATGACACTCGATTTAGGCGTATTAACGCGGCGGATCCGCACAGGCAGGATCTATCTTCCAAGCACTATGGTCTATGGGTCGCAAAGTTTCGCTAAAACATGCGAGATAGTGAGTGCTGCTGGTCTGCAGCTAAGGTGCTGTGTTGTCTCCAACATCACGATTGCAAAAAGCTAATTCACGAAAGTATTTAGAAACCTATCTAGATGTTATTCATACAGCACTATGGGAGCAGATATGACCGTTGGCCTAATATTTTTTTTTGCCATTACCGGTAGAAACACTCCTACATGAAAGCTGCCTAAATAAGGGCGAGCTGCTTTTGCTAACGCATGGCATTAGAAACATATGCAAAGCTAACAAAGTAAACCGTCAGATACAAGCTCGGCGCCATCTGTTATATTGTCCTAAGCAAAATCCAGAAAAACACGAGGGAAAAGGATTTTTTTCCGTTTTTTCATATGGAATGACTAGCGTCCGTCCATGGCTCGCCCTAATAGGCGGGATACTGTGCCGCATGGAAAAGGTGACCGTGACACCTGTTTTTGCACCCTACCACATGGGCCCCACGCTGCTTCCCGCCCTGACTACCGCGCCCGCACACTAGAAACCCACATGGGTCCCAGTCACCTGCCCCGTCTGCGGATGCGCGCTGCAGAGGCGTCCGTCGGCCTCAGGCGCCCACACGGTGTCCCACGGCGACACACCATCAGCAACAACAGGTGGCTGCGGCAGGCTGCTGTCCTCCAGCCACCGGCGTCATTGCAACATGTGCAACATCCAGATGAAACACTTGCAACATATGTTTAAAATAGATAAACCACTTGAAACATACACTTGAAACACGCGTATATAGCCATAGCAACATATGCAACATCCAGATCTATTTTTGCAACATATGTCTGAAACATCTAAAACACTTGAAACATACGCTTGAAACATATATGTATAGCCATAGCAACATATGCAACATCGAGATGAAACACTTAAAACATATGTCTGGAACACCTGAAACACTTAAAACGTAGGCTTGCAACATGCGTATATTGTCATTGCAACACATATGCAACATCCCAGATATACTTTTGCAACATCTAGATAAAACACTTGAAACATAGGTCTGAAACACTTGAACAGCGTCGCCGGCGGCCAGGGTGTACCTGGTGGGGAAATGTGGTAGCCAACGAGCTCAGGTCAGGGGGACGTCGAGAACAACGGCCCAACGTACACCCAGGCGTAGGTGCAGGCATAAGCCCCCCCTTCCTGCCACCGCGATGTCTGGACTGGCGGCGACCTCCTCTTGGTGGCACCGAGGAGGTGGTGGCGTGGTGAACGCCGTGGCCATGACGGGTGAGGCAGACTGTGGCCCGGCGGGGAATGCGGCGCGGTGCAGCGAGGGATGGAGCGGGGCGTGGCGGGGGATGGCTGCAGGAAGGTGGAGTGGGGCGGGCGGATGGAGGCACGGCACAGTGAAGCCACGAATGGGGCGAGGCGGAGTGCGAAGAGTTTTTTAAGAGAGAGATAGACGAGATATAGAGATGAGTAGGTCAATTGGGCCAGTCCGCTGCGTAAGCCTACGAAACCGCGTGCCTGTTCCAAAAGGACGGATGCCCGTGTCTAAGCATTATCGTACACTTCGTTTTTGCTAGGTACACCATATTATCTCTGTCCCAAACACAGTCAGTTATACGTACACTTACTGTGATACATATGTATATGTATATGAGTGCAACTAGTTCCCAGACACAATTATAGTCGCTATCTAAGGGCAAGTACATCGGTATTCTCTCGTAGATAGTCTCATCCAGTGCCATGTAATTGTGAGACAACTTAAGAGATAATACGTACAATAGTTTGTCTTTTAAGTTGTCGGCACGTCTTGATCCTTGGAATTGAATTCATTCTAATAATTATAATTTAGACATAGATTAATTAAGTTAATATAGTTGTATATAGAATATATTTGTATATTTATTGTTAGATATAAAAGGGACATACTTATATGTTGTATTTCTATTATAGAAAAGTGAGTTGAAGAGTGTACTATAAGTTGGAGAGTAGAATTATAACATAGTGATGTATAGAATCTATTTTCATCTTCCACCCTATGAATTTGAGATAGACTTATTTGTGAGTTTGGAAAAGTTATGGAATGTCAAATTCTAAGCCAAATAGCCTAATCCATTAAGTAGATTTCAATTCCTCTAAAATGAAGGGATCTAAATGGCCCCTCATAGTAATTCTAGGATCCTTAATTTATTCGTACAACAAAATGTTTGTGAGTTGTATGACAACAACCACTTATACAATTGTGTATAAGTTGTCTTGTAATCTAAAATTTTAGCTTATGAGATAGTTACTTCGTGAAACAACCCCCTCTTTCTGTTACCTCCCTCTCTCTTTGTCACCAAAAATCCGATCTAGCACTGCGCGAGACAACCTAAGTACGTGTACCAATGTAAGTTAGCTAGTGCCTTGGTTCCCGTTTCAGTGGTAGCTGCTTCTAAATCGGTAACTGTTTTGCAGCCCCATGAATGGAATATTCCATTTTGGTGCCATTTCTGTCCCCCATCAATCTGCTAGACTAGATGCCAGGGTATTATTCTCCCCTCTCCCTAGTTCCTTTCGGCATCAAATTCCGGTACAAGGTGATACTAGTGTGATGCATCAGTACTTGTGCCCACAGTTGCTCCACGGGTTCAGTTGAAAGAAATTGGTCCAATTACAAGAATCGCGACTGTTCTGTCTGTTCATATATTCTCAGATATACATATGTTCTCATGTACAGCTGTCATATTCTTCTCCCTTCCGTTTGATTTCAACCACAAATGTGACGAGAGAGCAAGTTGCATGCGTCGTTTATGTGATTCTTGCGATCTTATTAAGCCTTGGCAAGTTGCAGAAAAACAGTCACTTACTTTGACTTTCGTGTTTATGTGATTCTCACAATCTTACATCATCTCTGTATGCAATACTCCTATTCTGCATCTCTCTCCCTTCAGTTTACACAAACAGCTAGACATGGCGGTTCTCCCGTGATTCCATACAAAATTTTGTACCTCGATTTTCTCAGTTTTTTTCCCGTCTCTCTCTCCTCTGAATGCAAGGATATCATAGCCTCATAGGTTCGTATAACATCACCGGTACGCAAAGAGTACTAGTTGCCATTTCTATGCATCGACCTGACGACCTCAGATGGACATGGACGTACAGATGCGAGATCCTAGTAGGCTATTGCAACTAGTCTCCTCGACGCACCACCGATCGCCCCCATTGCCGACCGTGGCCCGTGGTGGAGATGGTGAGGCAACCCTCGCCGCATGCGCTCCTTCTTGATCATGGCTTCACGCTCCGTCGCCTCGTCTGCCAAGATCTGCTGACACCGGCACTCCTCGCTGCAGAATCCCTGGTCGCCTCTGCACAAAGCAGCAGAACACGCAACAATTAGAAATGAACGGGGTTTCGTTTCAGACATCTCGGAGTTCTTGTGTTTGCTAGTCGCACGCACCTGTACATGTACACGTCCTTGCTGCTGCTGAGCTCCCTCCTGCAGCGGGAGCAGGCGCTCAAGAAGCTGCTGCCCGGTCCACGGCGGTGGCGTGCCACCGTCGTCGGCAGGACCACCACCTGCTTCAGGACGATATGCGAGTGCGGCGGCGCTAGCGTCTGGTGGAGGTTCTGGACCAGGATCTGCAGCCCGACGCCGACCACCGCATCGACGGCGGAGTCTTGCTTTCGCAGTTGACGCCAGTGGTCGCGGCGCCCTGCGAGGGTACGTGTAGTATCGGTGTTCTTGACTTGCTCGTCGGAGCCGCGGTGGTCGTCGACACCCTCCTCCCCGAGGTGGAAGATGCTTCTCTGGCTCGGCCTCGGAAGCATGGCGGAGTGGAGAGCTCCGGGGGAGGAGGGTGGGGCTCGTGATGGCGAGGCGACCACTGACCGCCCCTCCCTTTGAGGTTTTCAGTTGAGGAGGTGTGTGAGGGGGAGAGGAGTGAGGCGTATATAAAGACATTTGGCGTCCGCAAGAGGTAAAAGCTGACAGTGAAATGCTTGATGAATATGCGGTATATTTTTGTGCTATCGTAATGGTATATTTCTGGGATTCATTTTGGAAAAAAAATTCAGTCCCAACCGAAATGGACGAATTTCAGGAAATTTTGGTCCAAAATTCGGACTATCTCGGTGGAATCCCGGAACCCTGTCTCTGTCATGGCTGTGATGAGGCAGTGAGGCTACTGGGGAATTGAGAGCAATAGAAATATGCTTATATATGTATGTATATGATGCAAAAGTTTTGAACTTGCTTATGATCCGGTCATCTGGACATGATCTTTCTAACAGTGAGAGCTCACCATCTGGCCACCAAGCAGTGGCTTAATTTGACATCCTGGTTTAACAGCACATGAATGGTTCTTTTTGTCTTGCTTTTAATGTTGAGAGGGTCTGGGGTTTAAACCATGGTCTAAAGTTTGGTTGAGAGCTTGCAACATCAACTTAACTCTGTCCTAGTGCTGCTGCCATCCTTGCTCCTTCCACCCTCAAATGATACACATCATGAAGTACCAGTTGATAAGTTCTTAATCTCTTTTTTTTTCACTATCGTGTGAACATCACTCAAAATTATGATGATATTTTGTCCCTTAAGAGAGGAGAAATATGAAGTGAGATTTTTTATCCATGAGTTAGAAATGACAGCTAGCTATTGATTTGGATTTATGTAAATAAAAGAATTATGTATAGCTTTTGATACTATTACTATTTCTCCATTTTAGTTCAACAACTGTTTTTGCCTTCTTAGACCAACACCATGGAAGTTGTAAATATACCCTCTCCATACTCAAAATTCAAGTCGTTTGGAAGGTGAGTTTGTTGTTCACAATTCAAGTCGTTTTGCATGCCTTAACGGTGTTTTGGACGAAGTTGGTCCATGATCCTTCGTCTCTCGTCGCTCATTCCAAAGGAGGACATTAAACCATGCCTCCTCGCTTGCCATAAAAAAATGCTAGTGCCCCATGGGAAAATCATAGCATGAAGTCGCGCAAGCGACCGACGCACGCATAGCACCATGCAAAATTCACGCACCGCGCAAAAAGAGACAACCAGCAAGAGATCGAACCTAGGACCTCTAACCTTGGGCTTCACAGTGCTAACTAGACTAGCAGGGATTGTTTGTTGCATGGTAGAAACCCGAAATCCTATATTTAATATATAAGAGCAAACAGGGGAAAATGTACTCTAATTCACTCATTGGTATCCTAAATCATGTCCAACGACTTGAATTTTGAGTATGAAGGGAGTACTTGGGTTGAACGGTGTCGGCAAGTTTTATTTATGTAAACTGATTTTCTTAACTTGTTGGCCAATCGCATCAAGTAAATTTTTCAATATGAGATCAGCTTCTTGGATAATTACTGAACATTGCTAGGTCACTCTGTACTTGCTAATTATTAGAACTTGTAATTCTGTACTTGCATGCTTGCTAGCTGAATGTTATATGTGTATTAGTACTTGCATGCATGCCATCTGAATTTGGGAAGAATTGTTTTCCTTATATGGTAAAGACTTAAGACCTCATTTTGCCAATATCTGAATGTGTGTAGTTTGTGCAGGCTGGATGTAGATTGCATTGTCTAATAGTGAGATGGTTGTCTTCTCTGTCATTTTGATATAGACATAGACCTGTGAATGTGACGGTGAGGGTTTAGCCATGTTGCTGATGTGATTTGGTTATTATAAGCTGAGCTTTTGGTATGATTTAGGTACTGTAATCTCCTAGAACAACAATAGACTTGAGGATGTAGGATATTGATGTGTATTTAACATGTGAAAATTATGATTGTCACTTCTATTGATTTGAATTCGGCAATGAATGTAATGATCATGATGTAAGACCTGGTTGTTATGCTACTGGAATATGCATATGCTTGTTTTATTTATTTTGTAAAATAAAATTTGGATTACTTGTGTTTGGGTTGACCCATAAAACAATGCATCATGGTACCCTAGGTTTTGGCTAAAGTTTTACTAGCTAGCAAGCGCAAGGCTCATTCATAGGAGAAAATGGTCTCACATAACATAGAAGGTCTGGCGACTTAGTGATATCATCCGACATCCTTGAGTAGTCATTGGCCAAGCCTTGATTCCCAATTTCCCATCCATTTGTCCTATATGTTGTGGCTTGCGCTGGGGTTGTTGTAGCATGCTATGCTGTTGCTTGCGCTGGACTGTTGTTGACGGTAGTTAACACCCATTATAAACCGTCAATATAACTTGTTTAAATGCATGAATGTGATTACCAACATAGGTTTAAGGGTTTAAACTAATAAATTCCACTAGTTTTGGTGAATCTGTGTTTTTAGCAGGGTTTATTCAGAAAAACGTCAAGGTGGACCCAATCGTCAGATATAATCACGTTTATCCGCGATGAAACCGACTTAGGAAGACTCCAGAACACTCTAGAAGGCAAACCACCGCAACAGAGACTGAGACACTGCCAAGTGGGGCCGGACGGCCCCACGGGTCAGCCTCCGCTTAAACATCGGTTCTCCACCGCCTCTATGGATCAATCTTACACCGTTGCTTAAAGTCGGTTTGATCCGAGGGCTCAGATTTGATGATGGACCCCTAGTTCCCCCTATATAAGTCCACCCATACCCCCTGAGGCATCCTCCATCATCAACAGAGATCATCATAAGAAGAAGAAGAACCTCAGAGCTCCACAAATATTTAGGTATAGCTAGATAAGTTAGATCTAAAGAGAGGCAAGTGTGATGACCCGCCGCGTTAATTCACCTAAACCAAGTGTCATCAACTTGACCAGCTCAATTTAAGCAAACCAACCTCGGTGACTCCCCCAGGAGCGCACTTGGCAACTCCTCTTCAGGATCAGGTTGAGTATCATACCACGATAGCCTTCACAACTCAAGATAACATCTCATCATCGGAGTACATAATAATTCAACGGAAATCATATATTACAAGTCTTATTAAACTTAGCAAGTTAATTATGCAACATTAAAGAAGACATTGATTCAATACAATCATATGTAGTGAGGACCAACTACTATCTTACCAACTACAACTACGATATACACTCTCACTAGTAACAGGTAGTCGCCTTGCCCATGGGTGTCACTACCATAGCTTGGACGGCTCCTGCCATTCACCTACTTTACCACAAACAACGGGGTGAGATGGCCGCCAATGTCCTTTACCAGCAAAAACAACTTAACGGCAGCATCGTGAGTACATTGCGTACTCACAGGACTTAATTCCAACATATAGTATTTGGTGGATGCATAGGGTGATTATCAGGCATTTGTATAAGTGTTGAAAGCAATGATGTTCATTAAGAGTACGACATGCTATGCTCAACTTTAGAATTAAAGCATTTATCATTGCAACCAAGATGCTCATAGTCCATCATCCATTAACTACGCAACCATGGGTATAGAAAGTAGGAACAACCGAATGATTCCATCCCGAGGGACTTCAGGCTTTCAAAACTTTGCAGAGGCGTACAACTGTACCCACATGAAAGGACGGGACTAACCACCATACCTCATGCACGAGAGTAAGGGTTGCCTCACGCCTTCCAATCTTTCCCTAATCCAACCTAAATGTCACATGAAAGGTTTTACTGGATGCTCGGGTCAGGTTTCCACCATCTTCCCAGTTCCTCAGGTCATGTCGACCCCATTTGCGACATGTGGTATGTACGGGTGGTTACTCGGACTTACGTATCCCAATACACGATCCTTACTGCTCCACGAGCTATGTCATTTGAAATCCCACACTCATGGCCACCTACCCCTCGCTTGAGCAAGATATCCAAGTTATCATCAAGATTACCATATTAGGGATATTATTCCTTAGCTAGATTAGTAAGGTGAGTCAAGTTGTACCCTCATTGGTTTTAGTTGTTAATTATCTAGGTGTTGCATCCTACACGCGTGAGTATGAGTTCCCTTCTCATGCTCGACTTCTACCATTGCCCAAGCAACTAAGCAATAAGCATTAAGCGTTCCCATTCCCATTGTTAAGGTGAGAGGCTTCTAACATATTATTAAGCTACTCTAGATGTAGTATGAAGAGATCACTATCCAAGACTATATGTAATGCATAACTCATAATGCCACTTCATAAGTATCCAAAGTAGGGTTCATAATAACGGGGTGCCTGCCTGTTGGAAGGGCGAGATTCTCCTAGCTTGGAACACACTGGACGTCTCTCCGATATCGTGTACCTATGTATATGTCCATGTATGATATTCTTATGTATGCATGACATTATATGAAACATGCAAGAGAGAGTGTTCAGGTATACATTGAAGGGTTGTCGATTTGTGTTATCGGATAGTCCGGTGTGGTTGTGGGACTTATTGGGAAAAGATCATACTAGGAACATCGGACTCTCCGAACTAGGATTGGACTCTGGTATGAAGTCTGTGCTCTTGGGTAGCCCTCTGTGTTCAGTTTATAATTCTTTGGACATTCCACAATGACAGCGGATCGTCCGTCAAGTTAGGTCTGTAGGATACTAAGTGTTCGGGCTCCATCGGATACTCCGTGTGTGTGGCGGAGCCTTCGGTAAATTATAAGAGCTTAGCCTCTTTCGGTGGTCAAAAATAAGATATGCCTTTTGGTGTCTAAGTTATGCCTAGATGATTGAGGATATTCCAATGAACACAACAAAACTTGCTTCACCATTTTTGGATGTCAAATGCAACTTCTATGGATTTTACAACTTATGGTTGTGCGCATGTATAGTGATTATAGGACACTCTGAACAAACATCGGACCATCTGATAAACACAGGCTGCTCTTGGGTTTTGGCTATAATTCATCGGGCACTCCGCCAAAGTGACGGACCATCCGATA